GCCTGACGTTTCGACATCCGTCGCAGATTCATCATCAGAGACATGAGTAGGAAATAGTAGCAGACCCTTTTCTGATCCCTTTTCTGCTAGAAGCAAGTATGTTGGTCTGGTTAAAAGCTGATTGGAACAATCCAGAGGGATCGTGTTATGGGAAAGGTAAGTTCAGATATTTATGGAAGGAAATCCGGGAGAACCTCCGTCAGTTAGTGAGCGGAACAACAGCCTCACCATTTAGGCGATGTAATTTGCACATTTTTTAGATAATAACCCATGACTGTGAGCAAAAATCGGTTCCAGATTAGGAGGGGACCTAGTATAGTGGAGCCTTTGAGGACGAGCAGTCTCATCTGCTAGGATTTCAGGCAACGAGCGATCCGCCCGCAAAACATGTTTCGATTGACGAACTTCCGCTAGGTTCCAAAACATAGGTGGTTTTGGTGGAATAAGGAATACACGATGCTGAAAACGATAGCATTGGAAATCTCCAATAAAGCGCACGCTAATCCGGACGATAAGTGGGCCCTGGAGGATGATTACGTTGAGCCCAGTTGAAGTAGACAGCCCTAACTCCCCTGTCGAAACTGCGCTACTGTTCAATTCAGAAGGAAAATCCTTATTGGCCGAGAAATCGGAGATCCTGGAACGTTATGTCAACCCCTTCAGGTGATTGCTTGAACGCTCATCTATAGACAGCGAAGAAGCTAACAACAGACTCCCTCAAACAGAAACCGGTGTTGCCCGCCTTCACTTTACAAATAAATTCCGTACAAAAGTCTGGGAGGCCGTCTCGATTCCAGTCGAAGTCTTCGAATGCAATGATCCTCAACTACTGGGCATTATGAACCCCACTGTTCCAATACGAGCAGAAAGGGATGCAAGTGGTGCATTCGGCATAAATTCAAAGGGAACCAACAAATGCGCGACCATCACCAGAAAATTTTCCGGTATTTGGGAGGTAATTTTGCTCCGATTTGCTGAACCGCTTACATTTACACCCGAAATAAAAACTTTCGCAAGACTACAGACATTGCGAACCAAGATTAGCTGTGAAAAGTAAGGAAGAATTTCGAAATATGTCTACAGTTTGTCCAGTACCTCATAGTAAATGAGTGATGGAAGGTTAAGGAAATAGACAAGCACAACACACACGGAAAATCGTGCTTTCACTACTGATTGTGGTTTGATGGGGAGTTTGGAGGTCCAACCTAGAAAGTCTTATTCAAATGGAAAGAGTTAACAGTAGTGTAATATTCCCCGTTCTGTGCATCGACGTCCCAGTCCACCTCGTTGCATCTTGCTTCCATACTGTTAGGAGCCATCCTAACAGACACTCGAGCAGGCAGCCATAGCCACGCCAGGCTATCGATCCGCCTACACGCAGCGCAAGTGATGATGCCGGGCAAAACCGCGCCCAGGGTTAGGACTCTGACAAGCCAAGCGGATGAGTTCCAAGCCAATCGAGTCGACGCTCACCCGAGGACACTACCTGAATGGTCCGATGCACATGGCTGTAAACACGTTTGCTAGCCTTAAATATGTTGTATTAAGCACGCTAAAAAAACTTACATTATGCGCCATTCTTGTTATGTTCTTCCTTGTGGACTCATACAAAGTGATCTATCTCGGCTTTTCGGGCAACGTTTACAACACATACTAAGCCGATTAAAACCGTGTTCGACGATGCAATCCACGGTGGCCATAGAATTTCATAATTCTGGAACTGGACTGCGCGGGTGTTCGAAAAGAAGAAACGTGTGGCAGTGGATTCACAGGAGGCTGATGTAGTCATAAAAACCGGGGTGTGAGATTTCTCGTGTGTGACAGTGGCCGGACACATTAATTCTAAGTCAGCTTCTAGTTTGCAGTGCTTACAATGCAAACGCTGAATATTTTGACCTCAAGTCCAGGGAACGATTGACTTCAGTGTGAATAATCATGTAGTTTAGCAAAGATAATGCGATCATTGTCAATCGTCCTGCAAGCACTGGACAATTTTATACGTCTGGCAGTGCCGTTTATCACGTTTGGACATGCGATCGTTCCCATCCAATCCTGCAAAATAACCTGATTTTTTGATGCAGCAAAGTTCGTTCAGCAGGTCATTTAAGCACATCCACAGAGAATCAGACTGGGGAACTTTGTGAGCCTAACCTCCACACATCTGGTAGGATTGACGAATTCGCTATACCAATGCCTGAACCTAGTCTCTGTGGGTTTCAGCTACAATGCCGAAGTCTCCTCAGCTATTCGTGTTTTCTTTTGATGATTTGTTGCAAAGAAGAACAAAGCACCATCACAACCACTAAGGAACGCTATTCAACATTCTAACTCCATGAAAGGAGGCGCAAACACACCAGTGACAGACCATCTACGTAAATCGAGTAACTTAACAGATTAGTGACCAAATTAGAGATCCAAAAGACGTGTTCTGTGTAAACAAAACAGTAAATATGGCTCGAGTATTCATATAGTTCTATATAGAAGTCTAACCTTGAATAAATTGGTTTTCCAGCATCACTGAGCACAAAGACATGAAGGTCATCTGGTTCCAGACCCAAATCTTTGGCAACCAGGGGTTCGTGCAGAGGAGAAGTTGAAAGACTGGACAAATCACAACTGTTGGAAGATACTCCTTGTTGATTATTAATTTTGGGTGTATCAGGAGGCGTTTGGTTAGGTGAAGAATCGCCTGCTACCTGAATTGGGCCAGTCGCGACAGTATCTGTAGGCGTGGAAGAGGAAGGCATATGATCTTCATCTGGAACAGGCGTCTCCATCACGTCAGCAAGTTGAAGGACAGACGAAAGGCCAACAGAGCCGACCGCAGTAAAAATCGGGAAGTCAGTCCTGTGCCTGTAAATCAGGTGTGGCAAGGTTAATCTACAAAAAACAGGTAGTTATGCAAGCAAAGCATGAAATAAAGCCAACGAATAATCTTAGAAAGCCGACTTGGTAAATGCTATTTTTTTAAAAGTTATAGGCCGCGGTCTGGCATATCTACTGTACTAGGAAGTGTCGCAGAGCCTGGTAACCGCCGCTAAATTGGTGATACCATAATCATAGCTTTCCCAGTAGCTGTGGGGACCAATGAGATACAAAACGCTAGCCGAGTGGAGAAGATAAACAGTATGCGAACTGAGTCACTCAATGGGACCCGATGGGGGCGTGCTCGCAACCATAACAAGAAAACTCAGTAACAACAATTTGCAGCTGTAGATAAAAGTGATGCAAACGCCGCTGGGATAACCCGAACGGTCTCGGTGTTAAACATGGTAGAAGGACCTTTTTGGATTAGGGTCGTCAAAAACCGCACTTATTGCCGGGAAATCAGGTATTTGACCGGCCGTGTCGCCGAACCCCACTTAAAGCGTTAACTGCGCACTTGCCAGTCGGAAATTTAAAAAACGCAGATTATTTTAGCTAACTATGATTTTCTTCGCTCGGTTCAAACCTAGCTTTCTTGCATACATACCTCTTCACATGTGAGTTTTGATTAAGTTGAGAAATCTAATTTTGTATGCATTGTCAGTTTTCAGTGATAAATTATGTAAAAACCGTGCGGGCTCATCATTATTCCCACCGACAATATTTACACGGCACTTCTGTTCGAGGTTGTTGATGGTCAAGTCAAGGCAAGTCAAATTTATTAAAGGAAATATAGGAAAACGCCTTTAACTCCCTCTTGGTACATAGTATTTAAGAAATGCATCGGCACAGCCGAACATTTCAAAGAAGTCGTTTACATTAAGAAATGCATCGGCACAGCCGAACATTCCAAAGAAGTCGTTGACACAATTTCAGACGACTACTCGCTTTGAACATTCCAAAGAAGTCGTTGACACATTCCAAAGAAGTCATTGACACGATTGTAGACGACTACTCGCTTGTTTTATGTGTACACTCACACTCAGTTTACACGAGCCAGCAGTGTAACTGAGGAAGAAGAGCGGACAGTGAAAAAAACTCCTAAGGCTGGCTCATAATTCAAAATGGAATGTCATTTGTGGTTTTTAGGAGATTCGGCTAGAAATATATAGATGACTATACTTTAAGTCTGCATACACAGTCGTCAGAAGTGCTTATGGTATGGTGGCTACGATGACCCTAGACTCCCGAAATGAAAAAAGTTCTAGAGTTGACATCTGATACATGAAGTTAACCTTATTTCCTACTTTAGGTTATGGCAGGCCGATCAGTCCTCGGAACGCTGAGTTTATTCTAACCATTTATGTTATATGTCGAATTCAAACTGATCCCAACATTCACATTCTGAATTCTGCACCTTGAGCAGGTACCTCCAATTGAGCTCGAAGACTGATCGGACCGGGTCGGTTGAATGCTTGCCGTGGCGAACCTGCAGCTGTAGGCGCGCACTCACATACCGTCTCAGTCAATTAGACTAGCGACTGTACTGTTAATCGCCTGAGGAATTTCCGTGCACTGAAAGCCGTCAAGGGTATTACATCCCGGATTACCTAGTTTCGTTATTATTATTACCATTATTTTCATTATTTATAAGGACGGGCTCATTTGCGTCCTCTCGTATTGACAGCATCTTTTAGAAATGGTGTTGTGATTGATACTGCGGGTGGGCCCACCCTTCACATAAACTTATCTGTATAGCTGTTAGGACCACAACCAGACACTGCTCTGAAGTAACGTTCAGCTAGTGATCATCAGGGATCATACATGAACATATATATGGTCCGTAGAAATTTATTACCACAAAATAGTAAGCTTAATTTTGGGGACATACAAAAGTGTAATTGCATTTAAATAAAGACCTCGGGTGATAAACTCTCAAAGGATGACAGCCCTGTGGGGTTGTACTAAGCGCAAGACAATGCGCCAGCTAAGTACGACTAAAGGTCGAAGTGATATACCGGCAATTTATTACGTTTTCCACCTGAATAACAGCCTATTAAAAGCTCTTGATGGATGTCGCGTGGACTATTCGGACTTCATGAATTTACAATCTAGAGCGTAGACCGTTAGGGTACTCTTTGTTTATACACGCATAATTCAAATTATTTCGGAGCGAATTTAAGTGAATACATAGCAAAAAATCAGGCGCATAATCTCAGAGTTTACGTCCTTTGCATTTGACCCACGCTAGCTCTTAAGACAGGCCACCTGGTAACTTGAGCACATTATTCTCAGAATTTATCAGAATTTCTTTCCTGTTTCTTGGAGAACATTTATTATCACCCCAGTATTTGAGTCCGGTCCTCGCTCTGACATTCATAATTATCGCGTAGAAAAACTAATTGCCATAAAAATAAAAGGTTCTTGGATTGGCAATTAAGTCCGTAACTCAACACAGCATGACTTTTTTACCGGTCCACTCATGTGAAACATGCCACATGTTTCTTATAAATATACTCTCTTGCTGACGTTTCAAAAACATGCTCGTTTTCATCATCAGAGCGTGCTGCC